TTCAAAATGTACCAAATTTGACAATTTACTACTGACTAGTATTATTGTTTCACTGTTCAATTTAAACTAAATTTTTCATCAAAGGATTAGTCTTATCGATTTCAAATAAAAAAAATATATATATCAGTATGGCGATCACAAGAAATTGATGGAAATTACTTTCAAGTTCGCAACTAGAGGGCGAAACTGCAATAATACATTTCAAATACGGATTTCTACCCGTTTCAGATACCCCAAGGTATGTTGAATTGAATTATTGAGATAATTTTGCTTATTTTTGGATATTGGCTCGAAAACTTATTGATAGCTCCGTATTGCCGTAACTAAATTAATTATTTAAATTCCAGTTAAAAAGCTCTTTAATAGTTTCAGCTCCCGGTGTAAAATGTTCGCCCTTGTGATTGCTTTTTTTGGCAAAGGTGGTCAAACTGTGTCGTTTATTTTTTCAATTCTCTCAATGAGATAATATTTTTGGTGGTTTGAAAATATAAGGAGGAGGTGGAGGATAAAAAATGAAACAAAATAAGGGAAACCGCATGCCGATATACTTTTTGCAACCAACGATTTAGTGCTATTTGATTGACATTCGCAGCATTTTCAGGCTCAGGTGTCTCCGATAGACCGTGTTAAATTCAAGTTGCTTCCTGCTTTGTTTTCAGAAGTTACGATTTTTTCGCGCAGTGTGTAGTTGGAAGGAAAACGTTAGCTTCTGGGCAAAAATCCCGATTTAGTGCCACTTGATTGAACTTTTCAGCAGTCACAAATCCAAAAGTCGTCTATGGACAGTGACATTCAACTGTCAGTCACAACGCAAAGCAGTAAAAAGTGTAAAACTTTTATAAATTCTAAACCAAATGTCACTGTCGTCCTTTCATCTGATTTGTCACTTTTCTCTGTCCAACCCAGATGATGAATCCTTGGAGAACACTCGTCTCTCTCTTTGTCCAGTAGAAAAGTCCAAAAGAAGCTCGTATTCACTTTTTTTGAAAAATCAGCAGCACGCGAGTTCTCTGACTGAGTTTTTTTTAATCTCCGGCTGATGTTGACCGACCGTGTTTTTGGAAAAACTTCAAAGTCAAAAACTGACTTGATCACTTTTTGCAGCTGAAAATAAGTGGACAAAGTTTCGAATACAAGCCATTCTCAGGAAAAATCTGCCTCAAACTACTGATTTTTTCTCATGAAGTCAGTGAACTTGGACCGAAACATGGTCATGGCATAGGAAAACCGCTGACATAATTATTAGTTCAAACATGACCAAATATTGTCTAGCAGATGCAGGTTAGTAAAACAATAAGTTATTGTAAAATCTCAAAAAAAAAGGAAAAAACCGAACCGAAACACTCAATAAACAAGGTTAAAATGCAAAAAAATTAAAATAAAATTAATTTTTCGATTGCAAATGACAAAGGACAGTTGACGCCAGACAGGTGACGTTTGACAAGTCAGTCAAGACGTCAACAGATCTGAGAGGCTCGATTTGAGAACAAAAGCTTGTTTGCGTTAATAAAAATGTCGGACCTTTTTGGTACGGAAGAACTTTTTTCACATTTGCGTGTTGGAAAGTGTATAATGTCTAAGGCACGCTAGGGAATTTTTAAGTGACCCTCTGAAAATTGGAATTTTACCGATCTGGTGTACTGCACTGTCGCAAAGTTAGGGTCACATATCAAAATTCTTTGATATACGACGATAACTAAAGCCCGTGCCCCATGCATCCGTTTATCCGATGGTACAAAAGTGTTTCTATTGGTTGGAGATCTGTCAATTAGTCTGTCGTCGTACTAACTGACAGATCTCCCACTAATAGACACTTTCGTACCATCGCATCAACGGATGTATGGGACACGGGCTTTAATGTCGATGTAACAATATGCCACCGTGTGTACGGGCTTGTAGCTTTTATTCGAATGTAATCAATGGTCGCTGTTGGGAAATGAGTAAATAAGATCTATTTGTCTCTCCTGCCAACCACATAAGTTAGTCTAGGGGGCGATGTGACAATTAGTTTTTTATTTTAAGTTGTATTTGTTTCTAGTAACTAAGGTAATTGAAAAAACGAGACGGGGGTAGAAATAACGTTCTGAGCAATATACATTTTAATTTTGCCGACAATCAGGTTTTAATTCGTCGGTTGGGTGCATTCATATACTTAAGTCAGTGTTGGGAGTGCCATCTCAGATAGGGACGCGCACGAAGAAGAAAATAATACAAAAATATATACAGCAGACGACATCGATTATAAATCCCAGACCAATTTTCTGCTGAATACTCCCAGAATCTTCGATGGCTCATCGGAAACTACTCATCCGGCGCCATTTTTTCCATCGGTTTTAACGTTCGATTAGTAATCGTGATTTTCTATTTGTGTACCAGCAGGGCGACCAGACTGAGAAATGGCGGTGTCGCCAACTACCGGACGATGGTCACCAAAAATCACCAGTTTTGAGGCCAAGTAAACTCAAACGAGGTAAACAAAGCGGAACGGTTTAATTGAACAAGAACTTTCTTTTTGATAAAATTTGTTGATAAAACAAGTTGAACTGACATTAAAAACCTATTGTCGTGCAGAGAAAGCCCAGTTACATGGGAACCAGATTCTGCTGACCAAAAATAAAAATAAAAAATAGCATAGCGGGAGCGCGCGTATCGTATAGGAAAACCCCGTTAACGGGATTTCTTTTTAGTAGTAGTTTTTTTTTAGTAGTCAGTAGTCTTAAATGCCATGAGCACAGAAGATCCCTCCGGGGGATGATCTGTGGCCATGAGAATCAAGTCAAAAAGTGCATTCAGCAAAAATGCCCATCATCACGTGACCGATGACTTATCACTAACTAATCGATTTTGTCTGCTGAATGCGACCAATGTAATTTTTCGTCTGTCATTGCCGAGTCACGTATTGACGTTAATTTTTGTATGTTTGCAGTTTTTTAAAGTGTAACTTTTCCCAAATAGGTAGCACATATTTCCAAAGTAACAACGATAATTAACTAATGGTTAAGCTCCTAGTAAAGAGAACAACAGCTAAAACTACAATAACAAGAACTTTTGTTTGGCATATTTAGACGCGTACTGGGCGGAAACGTAAACAAATTACATTCGCCCTTGGGCTAAAGTAAGAACCCAGAGTGCATCTTTATCTTCTGGCTTCTGTGTGAAAAGTGGCAGTTTTTGATTGATTCGAATGAAAACAACACATTTCCGTGGTAGTCTAATTATTTAGGAAGAAGCTCTTCATTTATACAAAGTGCGCAAGACTAAAGGGTTTATGTAATGTAAATATAGCCTTTAAATTAAACTGAAATGACCTCCACATGTCTACGTGGTCGAAAAAATCTGCTAAATCCTATTAAAAAATTGACCCAAACTGAATAAAGGACCAGATGTCTAGAATTGAGTCTGCAATTTCCAACATGTCGTCCCAAACAAACACACAATAGAAAACAATTATGTGGGAAATAAAGCAACAAAGTGGAATGTCACTGTTTACTTACAGCAGCAGCATTCTCATCGATAACGGCCATCTCTTCAAAGTCCATTATTTATATCGAGGTCTTGTATTGATGAATCTCTGAAGAAAAACCAGGAAAGTGTCACTATCAGAACATAATGCAACGGGAATTTGTGAATATTTACCAACAGATAAAACAAACACCCAAGCAAGGTCGTATGGTCAGCGGTGCTGCCAAGTGGAAATTAGCGAGTTTCCTCAGAGTGGCTGCTTTATGGGCGCGCTCGGACAGAGGCGACAACCTCGCAGTCGATAAAACAGTTGGCCGTTTACCGGTTGTATCAAACTGAGATTATTTTTGATTCAGGGCCGTTCTAAGGTATTTCAATTTCATTTATTTACGGCCTAAGCCAATTTAAATTTACAAATAGTTTGAAAACAATTTGGTGTCCGTAATTTACATATAAACTATTGGTAATCCTTTACAATACGATCTGGTACTAGGATTGCCACTTTGCCAATTAAGACTATACTCACCTTATAGAAAATCTTGTAACAAACAACATTTTTCCTATATATTTTTCGACCTAATGCCGTTTTCCAGGACTTTTCACCCTCTAAAATTCACCAATTTCCAAAACAAAACAACGGTTGCCATGATGGCTCAGCTCTGCGTCGCCGTGTCAGTCGAAATTTTTCGCGTAGTTGCCAGTACTATATTAGCACTTTCTTAACATTACAACTTCCTTCCTTTTTATGTACACAAATCATTTAATATACTTAACTATTTAATATAAAATAGATAGTAACTAGTAATACCCAGATGATATATTTGCACTACTTTTCCGATTCTCATCATAATTCCCATTAACCGATTAAGAACTCACACGCATTCATAGACATCCATAGAGAAACCAAAGCTAAAAATACTTTATTTTATTTTCTTTGCATGCACACATCTAATTTGATATTTCAAACGGCTGGCTGCAATCAGCTGGGTCCCGGCTAAATTACGAGCACAATCATATGTATGAGCTTATCAGTTTCGTCTACTATTTCCTGTATGGACGTAATTCTGCTAAGTTTCCAACCTTGAATCAATTACTTTTTTGTTTTCATTGAAATTTTCTAGTTTGGTGGCAGTTCGGCAACATGGCTGATCAGTATGCAATTTTTGGCTGCGCGTACCGTACGTACAGGCATGTGCGCGTGCCACAGCAGATCGTACCGTAAAGCATTACCAAAAAATTTAATAATAATAGCGCCTTTTGATTCTCCTAACTTCAAGTGATTGTATATTAAGAAAAACTCTAAAATATAGGCTTTTGGTACAGTCAATATTATGAAAATCCTTCAAGTTTCGTTTCAGGAATCCGACCAACTTTATTGACGTCTATGCGGGGCCCGTAAGCACTTGTGACCGTGTCGTTTGAGTTCTTACGAATTTTTTGTTTTTTCTAGTTTTTCTGTAAAGAACATTTTAAATTAAGCAGTTTCATGAAAAAAATTCCTGGATGGTCCATTAATGAACCCCAAAAAAAAACTCACAAATTGTGAGGATAGTCCCATTTTGATGCTAAATTCCGAGCGGTGTTGCCAAACTGCGTAAAACGTTCTAAGTTGACGAAAATTGTTTGCTTGGACCATACTAACACAAACAAACTAACTCAAAATTAAGCGAAAGGCAAATAGCGCATACTACGCGGCAACGCCGCATTCTGCTGATAAATAATCCGCCATATCGACGCGTTATATAATCCCAATCAATGGACGACGTTAGAAAAGATGCTCAAACTTTTGCGAAAAACCCAATTATGATGCAACTTAGCGACAATTTTGCATGTGGAATTATGGATTGTTGATACTTAAAGCACGATTAAGTAACAGACAGCATCAGATAATCTCATTTTCTTTCATAATAGGTGGCTTTGGAAAAGCGAATTTCCAAAGTTTCTAAGTGTTTTTTGGCTTGATTTATGGGTCATCCAGGAATTTCTTTCTAAAATAAAATCTATAATTTGAAGTGTTCTTTAAGCAAAAAAAGGAAATGCTAAAACTTCGGAGGGACTCAAACGACAGATCTCAGATCTAAAAGGCGTTTTTGAAATTTGCCCATGTAAGAAAAACGCATTTTCTGGTGAACATTTTTTGCTGGATCGTGAGGTACGGTGTTGGATCGTAACAATTTATTCCACGACACGCAACAATGTCGTCGATTGAGGTTCCTGGGGCGGACTTCATCCACATTCTCACAGGTAGCAGCACCAACCAGAATTAACCAACATCTCATCCCAAACGAAGAACTCTTGCCATAGAATGCCTTGTGTGGGTATGCGACAGAAAGCTACCTGAAGAAGCTTCAGGCTAGGGATGCCACATTCTGTCTGCTGGACTGTTCCAAGCATCTGTGATTTTTAGGCAGATGTTATTTTGGCCCATGATAAATATTGGCTTGTACCTGAAACCGGGCTGAAGTGTATTTTGAGTCCAGTCAGATTACACTTTAAAAGGCTTGTTTCGGGCACTGAATATATGATGGTAAAAGATTATTGGAAGTTGTTCGGAAGGATGTCAGAATATTGAGACTATAGTTTGTGCTCGATTTCCTGCTGTGGAACATTGTTTATAAACAATTATTTATAAATAATTAAAGAAAGTGCGAAAGCCCGTTTTTTGTGCATAATTGTTGAACCGTTGATCCTATTGAAAAAAAGTTTGATCTTTTTTTTCAAGTATTAATAATACCTATGATATCAGATAAACTACATTAAAATCGTTCATTAGTTTACTCAAAAATAAAAAAAGCCGTCGATTTCAGCGTTTTGTTAAGTTTCAATAATTAATTTAGTTTTGTTTCAAGAAAATGGTACCATAACTTTTTTTG